TCAATGCCTGGACAAGACTTTCTTGTACCTTGTCTTTTGCCCAGTCATGTAAAATATTATCTAAATTCTCAAAACTTTCCACCATTTTAAAACACAGAGAGAAAAACTTTGAAATGATGACGTCAATGGTGCGTCTGTCCTCTAATAGATCATAGGCGAGAACCAATCAAAATGCGAGAATAACTTGGGTTATTATATAAACTCTTATCGATAATGATATACGTCATCACAGTGGTCAAAATTTGTTGTGGACTCACGAGGCACAGCCATTTTGACCACTGTGATGGCGCATATTGTTGTCGATAAGAGTACAGACAACGCTTAACCACATTTGATTTGTCAACTAACAGGTTGCTGAAAAATTTTACAATTTGTTTTTAGGGAAAAAAACCTGCAAATTTATAATGTTGTTCATAGTGCAGGGCTTGACTTTCAGGAAAAAATCCTTGGGGCAAGCTGGCCCCTAAATTTTCAGATTTAGTTGCCAGGAAAAGAATTTCAGTGAAAAGTGTGAAAAGTTAGTCGCCAGTGACCTTAGTGGTCCCAACGAGCTCTGTAGTGGCATTTTTTCCACAGTACACTTGTATAAGGAAGTGCCAGTAAAATTAAGGTTGAATTGTGCAATGAAATTCTCTGTGACTTCTCGGTAGTAAGAAAATAACTTTTGCATTTTTTATTTTTAAGAGAAAAGCTGGAATACATCCTGCTTATTAGTGTTTTAGTTGTACCAATATACTGTGGACGAACCTTAACTGAACTTTTAAACTACATACATTGTCATGCCATGTAAACTATTGTCAGAGAGAATTTAAGAAGTGCATTGAGACTTCGGAATCTTATGGGGTAGAAGTGTCATGATTGGTTTTGCCAATATTTCTATTATTTTTTAATTAGTAAATGGGTGCGTCTTCTCAAAGTGCTTTTGTGAAAAACTTTCTTCCAGTCTTCAGTAGTAGGACTGTTTTCATTTGAAAAGCAGAGGAACTAAGATTAATTAAAAAAAACAAAAACCTTCTTGTGTATGGGAGTAAAGGAAGTTTGTAACTGATAATGCCATAATTGAGATAAAAGAAGGTTACTAGTGGCAGCGAGACTCTTGTTTACAGAATGATACAGTATGTTGACAATAAGCTTATGATTAGGAACCAAACCATTTGGAGTCATCCATTTTCATTTGATTTTCACCAGTATGGTCTGGGTTGACAGAATTTAAACTCTACATTACAATACAGCATTGTCATAAATTAGTACATGATGTCACAAGAATTGAGATACATGTACCATATTTGAAAGAAAAAGAAGAAACTTGATTGTAGTTTCTTAGTTTTCAAGCATACTTAGCAATCAATCAAAATTGTTGTAGACTAGTGTTCTGTGTGGCAGTAAATCAAGCAGCACTTCTAATAAAGCCAGGGCTGCCATGGTCAGGAAAAGTCAGGGAAAATCAGATTTTTGTTCAAGGTCAGAGAAAATTCAGGAAATCTTGTATCAGGTCAGGGAATTTCTAAATCCCTGTTCAAAGTCAGTATAAAGTCAGGGAATTTTATCTCCAGGTTGCTGCAAATTATTTTTACATTGTTTTGTCTACTGTAGTCAAGGCAATTTATTTTGTTTTAAAAATTACCTGTAAACCATCTTAAATTTTGTTAATTCATGGCCAAAAAAATCATCCTGCACAGTCAGTGAAAATAGCTTTACAGTCAGTGAAGAGCCAGGAAAAAGGGACTCGGGGAATTTTGTTTAATGCATTAAGTGCAACCCTGAAAGGAGAAATCAAAAGCAGGGAAATAATGTTTACATAGAGAATGTAAACATAAACAAGCTGCATATTTCATTTATTTTATTGGTTAGAAGCAAAATAGTTTCAGTGTTCTTTCATGCATGAAATGATGCATGTATACATCTTCCCCTCCCNCCCCCCCCCCCATAATTTTATGTTTCTCCTTGAGCATGCCAATCCCTGTCTATCCCTGGTATTTTATCCTGTTTTAGCACTCAAGGGTTGGCAGTCTAATAATCTAACCCTAACCCTAAGAATTTTTAAGGTTTAATTGCAAATATTGCTGTTAATGTTAATCATTCTTCATTAATGGTTTTTAATTTCTGTCCAAATTACCTTCAGCACACTGAGTTGGAGACCATAACACTGAAGTGCTAGACACACCATGGCAGCATGCATGAAGGTACATCATAAGCTGGAAACAACACTAGAAGCCTACAGTGCCACTCTACTCCTCAAACAGGTAATTACAACTTGAACTTCATGGCATTGTAAAATCTGTCCACCCCAGGTATACATGTAGCTTGGGGTCTTCTCTTAATAACCCACAGAGTGTACATCTGTAGCTGCTGCAAGGCAGGGTCCAGTTTCAAGCCTTTTAGTCTGAACTGGTTGTACATACAGGACATTTGCAGATACAGTTGAATCCATTCTTTTCAAAGTCTCAGCTGTTTCAACCTAGTCCCCTCATTGTTTGAAGCAATTTTTAGCTCTCTTAGCAAATCTTTAGTAGAAATTTACCCTTGATTTTTTTAGCTCCAGATTTTCCATTCTCCCAGCTGGTTCAAAAAAAAAAAAAATCAGGATTGCATAGAGCTTACTTTCAAAATTACAGCAAAATTTTGGTGATATGTAGATTCTGCAGAAGGTTTCTGTGAATGTAGGCTACTTTCTTTTCACCTTGGGGACCAAAGCAGTTTAAACTTCTGAAAAATACTACAGGTCTTATAAGTTAAACCACTCATTTGGCTTCTCTTGATTGAGCAAATATACACCAATGCAGCTAATGAAATGTATAATATCTTTATGAACTACTTTTCTCTGGATAAAATACTACCATAGATATCCTTTTGCAATCCCTGTCAAAAGTTTATTGCAAAAAGTCCACTTTATGCCTTGAAACAGGAATGTCGCATTTAAGATACAGGTCAAGGTATCAACTCAACAGTTCTCTTTTTTGTTTCTCAAAGTAACACGTATAGCAATGATCCTTTTAAAGGAACGTCTCAGTGATTGGAGCACTTTCTTCCCAATTCTCTGTCTCTGTGATGACATCATCACAGCTTAATTCTCGAGAGGCCTCCCATATTGCAAACTCATCGTCATCAAAGTCCAGGATGGGAAACAGGGGCGGCTGGGGCACCGCCTTGTTCATGTCATTCTGTGAGCGCACTCGACGCAGATTTTCTCGCCATTTTTTGGCTTTTCCCTTTGGATCACCGCACTGCAGGTCATTCCAAAAGAAATTTGCCTTCCTTTCCATGGCTTGCAGTTTTTCTTCTAGCGCCATTTTACGAATGCCGCATTCACTGTAAGGAGAAACAACGTGTTTTTAATTTAAGGGAGTTTATCTATGTACCGTGGAGTTAATAAAATTGAAATGAGTTGAAAGTTACTTTGCGCTAGGCAGTGGTGCGTTAGTTTGCTCGTGTATTAAAGCTAACTTACTGTACATCTTACTATGATACGATTACGAAAATGAGTTTTTAGGAAATTGAATTTTAAGACGTAGGTTTCCCCACAGATCCAAGATACATTGAATAGTCTCGCTCTGTCTACTTACACAGTGCAAAGGCCAAAAATACCCTTGCAGTAAATCTATTCTGTGAGAGTTGAATTTGAGTAGCTCTGTTTAAAATTCTTGCAGTTTTCCAGTCTCTTTTTTGCTTTTAGTTCTTTATACTCACATGATGTCAGACATCAGCATTTGGCGCTTTTCTAAAGCTTGCCCTAGTCTACTCTCAGTGAGTTCTACTTGAGCCATCAGATGACTTCTGGTGTTTCTCGTCATCTTTCCTTTTTCTTCTGCTGCTCTTTGTCGCTGCTTGCATAACTCCACAGTGCTCCTGTGTGGAGACATGGAAACAGTTAGCATGCCAATTGCAAAGTTATTTAGCATTTTCTTGTGCAAACTTGTAACTTCAATGTAGAACACGAGACCCGTTGTTGTTTCGAAGTCGAATTTTCATTATAAACTAGAAAAGATGGTTTTACTTGACAAATGGGCGGAAAAAAATTGCACACGTCTAGTGAACAAAGTTCAATCACAATTCCTACCTTGTAGTTTCAATATCTTCTTCAATTATTCTGATTGTTTCATGCAAATTGCAGAGTTCATTTTCCATTTTTCTCCTGGAGGAAAAACAAACATATCTGTTATCCGCAAAAAAAAAAAAAAAAAAAAAACCCGCAAGAAATAACTGAAGAAAACTAACCTAACAAGCAACTATAACGATTCTCACCTGGACTTGACTTTTCTTTGCTTGGAACCAAAACAGTTTAAACGTCTGAAGAATTGTAAAACACCCATAATCACAAATTTGAGAATAAAATATCAGACGAAAATTTAACGCGCAACTTGCACAGTGTTTTTCAACTGAATGTGGCTACGTACGTTGAGTGACTCTTGTGATGTGTTTAACACGACGCGCGCGCGCTCGTGCTCGCGCAAGTTAAGGTGATTGCCATTCCCCAAAAAATTTTGGGTTGAAAACGTAAAACCTTTTACAACACTAGTATCATTTCTGAAGGGGTAAATCGAACGACGTTAATTATGCACAGCATATATGTATTGCTGTGAGAATATGAGAACATAAGAGGAATTAAGAAAGCCCTCACGGCGGCTCTCGTGAATGTGCCTTGTTATCTGAAGGAAATAGCGCGTTCTTTTACGCATAACTTGTACGAGCGTAAAAGGAAAGGGAAAGGAAAGGAGAGGCAAGTAACCACTGAGCAATGGAAGTTGACTTAACTTTCTTTGCTATTTTGGACAATTTTCTGTTCAAATATTCGTTAAACGTGGATATCGCAATTACTTGGTTTTGGAAAAGTGGTCCGAAAAATCTATCTTTCTTCAGCAACAATGAAGTTTGCCTTGACTGTCTGCTACGTGTATAACGTAATCCTAACCAAGATGAAACTCTTTCGATTATATTAAACACAAATTTGTATGTTTAAAATTTAACGGTTTATTTATTTTTTATTCTATTTCAGTGATACGCTTCATCATGATGTCAAGAGTGAGGTGAAAATGACAGCTGTAAGGAGAAAGCAACAGTTTGAATCAAAGTTATACTGTGAAACTGTTTTCTCTCGTCAAGAGAGATATCACACTACTAGTGTTATTTCAATTCGAGTTAATTTCTAACTTGCAATGGAAATTTTCTTGTTTGCTAAGGTAGGTTTTCAGTATCATCTCGCTTTTCCTTACAAATTGCAGATTTAAAGAGTTTTGCTGAAATTGAGAGGGAAGTCGGAAAAAATGTCAACTTCAGGTGTGAATAAGTAGACTGTTCACAGCCCTCTATTTTCTCATATTTTTATTCGATCGTTGAACCCGCCGAGAGAAAGAGAGTCTCAACAAACCACAAGACAGTGTTTTTTTTTATTTTTTACAGTGTTTGAGAGCCTGCATGAAAGAGAATTTGAAATTAATGTTAAGAAATTGTTGGTGAACCATTTCATTTTGTCTAAGAATACTGAATTGCATGTTGTGCACAAATAACGGTTCTTTATTTTAAACAACTAAATTTTTCCAGCCAGAGGTCGACTTCACGACTTTCTGGAGGCGAACTTGAATTGTCACTAGGAGAAAACGTAACAGACCAGTAAAGTAAAACAGTTACTGCAGTTTGTGGAAGCTCTGTGGTAGAAGAACTTCATATGTAATAAAGACTACAATAAAGCGACTCTTCTCCGATCATAATTTCCACGTGATGGGCACCATCTCTCTATGGTCTTTTCGAAAATTAAAACAAAAAAAACCCAGAGAAATCAAGGAACTATATTCTCAAAAAGCCTAACTATAGAGCGTTTTCACTCACGTGATCAGGAGCCATGCAAATTTATTGAAACAAAAGGAAGTGTTTATATAAGAAAAGAGTTCAATTCCCACAGGAATTGTTTGGTACACCAACATGGCCGCCATTTCATTATTTTGGAACACCAATATGGCTGCCGTGACGTCATGTGAAAACGCTCTATAACAAACATATCAACAAGTATTAACTAACTTAATTAACACCCTCCCCTCCCCCCTCTTGCTGGCAGCCTGATGATGAAATCATTCCTCGCTAATTTCGATTCACCTCTGAAACTCTTTATAGACGGAATCAGCGCCGAACTGAAGTGAGAATTTTAATATTTTGTTTGTATAACCGAATTTTGATTAAACTGACAAAGTAAGTGTGTTGTACGTAATGGCCGGATTTATACTACAGACGGACCATCCCTCTGAGATGAAACTTGGACAAAAAACGATAGTACTTCCGATAATTCGTCTGTGTATAAATACGGGAAAACACGGATCATCCGTCTAGATGGATTATCCACGAAAGTTCGTGGGTCAAGAGGAACTATCACGATAATTTGTCTGGACGGATGATCCGTCTGTAGAAAGAAGCCCCAGATTACCATTAAGAGTATCTTTACTATTCGGATTTATGGCAAATAGCGATTGCCGCCTCTGCTTATTGGCTACTTGGGGATTTGTGCCATCAGTTCAGTTTTTCACTGAATCGCGTTTCACAATTATCCTGTTAAGTGTAAATATAGGGCGTGTACTCGATATTTGCACCACTTACATGGCGAAATTATATTAGCTCTAAATTAGTTTTTTGATTTAATTTGTCACGAGACGTTACTCGTATGTTTCTTTATTTTCTGTTTTTTTCGTCCTTTTGACGTACACAATTTCAGTTAAATCAAAGTAAGATCACACTGTGTATTTACTAAGGAAAGAAAGTGAAAAGAAAACCAAAGATGAATCAAGAAAAATAAGACAGTTTGTCAACAGCAAACTTGAAAATATTTCGTCGATAATATGCTGTCTTTATTTCTCTTTTATTCCGTTCACTTAAACACTTCTGACAACTAGCGATTCTGTAGTCTTGTTTTGTTAATTTTTTCTTAATAATCTTCGCGTTTTTTTTCCCTTTAATTCTTAGAAAAAATAGTTTAAAAAAATTCTCTCTCTAATCTGAAAAAAGCAGAACTTTTTCGGACGCTCCCACCGTCGAGGTAAAATTATTTTACATGTAAACATGTTTCCATTGCTTTATCGTCAATTCAATCTCTTATTTTTCAAGTTGAAACCATTGAATACGAACTGGGAACATATGTGAGGTAGATAAGTGCTGTATCGTATGACGTCACATACAGTAACTATGTACTAAGCCTGCATGTGTACTAGGCACAGGCCAAGAGGTTAGACGGCAATTAATAACTGTCCTCAGGGGTATTTTCTTTCTAAGACAAATTGGACATAAATCATTTCAACTTGACGCGTGAAATCAAAACCGTCCTTCCTTGCTTGCGGCGCCTTTGTGTTGATTTATGATTTAGACTAAGTCGAGTTCTTCAGTTTTTCCGATAAGTTTAACGTACTCGAAAGGTTACATATGAGTTATGAAACCCAAGATATAAAGATATATTTCCTATAAACTAAGTGACCCAATAAATCTCATTAACTTTAGGAGCAGCATTGTTTTAATTAAGAACGTCTCATCAAAAGCCACTCTATATTAATATCTACAAAACCGTTATATGTTATTTATTTGAACAGGAGAGTTCAACCTGGGACTCGGAAATGGTTTTTGCAAAAGTGGGATATCTCTTTGTTCATGGCATTTGTAGAGACCTTTATCAAGTACTAGTGCAAAATATCAAGTGAGTTCATGATGCTTTAAAATATACAGTGATATCAGCACGAGGACAAAGACCGAGAAACACCTCTCGATATTCTGAACTTATAAGTTAAGCCTTTACACTCTTGAAACAAAACAACGCTTGCTCAAGTGTTTGAAGCACGTAGTCCTTTGTTTCATATAGTTATCAGTCAATTAAATAAACCGCCAGATAAACTGAATATTTGGCACTTAAAGCAATTTTCTCGAGTCTTCGTTCACGTTTTATCATGCAGAAACGTCAGAATTCTTTTAACAGGGATTATCTTCTCATTTTCACAAGATTTTTAAGCACTTTGGTGGAAATGCTTGTTTGGACACTGTCCACTGGCAATTAACAACCTCAATGTTCTGGGAAATTTTCAGCTATTTTAAACGCATTGTTTTGACGTAATTAATCATGTAATGAAACCGGTACGCCACTGAAAAGATAGAACATCATAAAAGAACAAAAGCCCTCAGCAGTTTTCTTTTGTCAAGAGAGAAATTTCACTTATTGCCCCAGTGTGACTTTAAAATGGTTCGTTTATGGCAATTTTGATAAAGTTATTGCCTTTGGTCTGAGTAAACATGCGAGTGTCATGATTCAAAACCTGTCTGGAGTAGATGTGTCTTCTGAATGATAAATCTTCGAGCTTGTTATCATTGAAAAATGTGATCATTAATCATTTCTATTTCTAGAATTGACATGGATTTGATACTTCAGGAAATACGAAAATTCTAAAACAACACGGAATCAAATAGAGAAACTGAGAAACCATTTGCAAGAATAAATGATAAAACGGCAAAACCCATAGACCGATAAATTAATGGTGACAACAACTAACCACCTGTCGAAAATATTGTCCTTGAAGATTGCTAATCGTGCCACATTCTCGATTGATGTGAGAAGCTATCAACAGCTATCGTACAATGTAAGAAAATAGATGCCACATCTAACAGAAATCAGTCTGCATTTTATCAAGGTTAAAGATGTTTTTAACACACGTTTTTTGCAGTATCCGTTCATCATAGAATTAAACGTAACTTTATTAAGAGTCACTTTTACTTCTGTTGAAATTCGGAAAGCATGGCACGTTGTTAACTGTAAGCCGAAAGTCATAATTTAGTTAGGGTGAGTAATCGTAAGGCAATAACAACTTTTTCTTGCGGTTTTCTACGGTTCTCTGGCAAACAAGGCATTTACAGCTTTGAACAAGCCGTTTCCATCTTGTAGAATTCGGTTATTTAAAAGACATAACGCTGAATGACAAACTGTCACACACGTAACTACATTTTGTATGTTACGGTTAGTGTCCGTTCTGACTGTCCTTACTGGAAGCCTGTTCGTAGGCTAACAAAACCGAAGAATCGCAAGCATTTCGCACGAGTTGCAGGCCTTCTACTCACCCTCCCTTAGACAGTAGCACTTTGTCTTCCCAGTGATCACTTCGAGCCTAGCGTGAAGGAGACATGAAAACAATTTTGTGTTGGCGGTAATTTTGAGTTTATTTTGCTTCGTAAGTGTTCTTAGAAACTATTTTGAGGTATTGCCACCGTATGAAACTACATTTTGGCAATTGTGGAGTTAAATTGAAGTGGTGGTTTGTGGCTAAAAACCTTCGTAAGAGCATGTCAAGTCAAGTGTCATGATGTCCAACAAAATAAAGTTGAGGAAAGCTGCTGAACAAGGCTGACTCCCGAAAACAACGGAACTGCTACATGTAGCTCTAGGAAAGTATGATTTAGCTTTATAATTTTTGTCAAAAAAANAAAAGAAATTTGCCTTCCTTTCCATGGCTTGCAGTTTTTCTTCTAGCGCCATTTTACGAATGCCGCATTCACTGTAAGGAGAAACAACGTGTTTTTAATTTAAGGGAGTTTATCTATGTACCGTGGAGTTAATAAAATTGAAATGAGTTGAAAGTTACTTTGCGCTAGGCAGTGGTGCGTTAGTTTGCTCGTGTATTAAAGCTAACTTACTGTACATCTTACTATGATACGATTACGAAAATGAGTTTTTAGGAAATTGAATTTTAAGACGTAGGTTTCCCCACAGATCCAAGATACATTGAATAGTCTCGCTCTGTCTACTTACACAGTGCAAAGGCCAAAAATACCCTTGCAGTAAATCTATTCTGTGAGAGTTGAATTTGAGTAGCTCTGTTTAAAATTCTTGCAGTTTTCCAGTCTCTTTTTTGCTTTTAGTTCTTTATACTCACATGATGTCAGACATCAGCATTTGGCGCTTTTCTAAAGCTTGCCCTAGTCTACTCTCAGTGAGTTCTACTTGAGCCATCAGATGACTTCTGGTGTTTCTCGTCATCTTTCCTTTTTCTTCTGCTGCTCTTTGTCGCTGCTTGCATAACTCCACAGTGCTCCTGTGTGGAGACATGGAAACAGTTAGCATGCCAATTGCAAAGTTATTTAGCATTTTCTTGTGCAAACTTGTAACTTCAATGTAGAACACGAGACCCGTTGTTGTTTCGAAGTCGAATTTTCATTATAAACTAGAAAAGATGGTTTTACTTGACAAATGGGCGGAAAAAAATTGCACACGTCTAGTGAACAAAGTTCAATCACAATTCCTACCTTGTAGTTTCAATATCTTCTTCAATTATTCTGATTGTTTCATGCAAATTGCAGAGTTCATTTTCCATTTTTCTCCTGGAGGAAAAACAAACATATCTGTTATCCGCAAAAAAAAAAAAAAAAAAAAAACCCGCAAGAAATAACTGAAGAAAACTAACCTAACAAGCAACTATAACGATTCTCACCTGGACTTGACTTTTCTTTGCTTGGAACCAAAACAGTTTAAA